TAAAATAAGTGCATTCTGCATTAAGTTGGTAATTACAGACAATGGTTTTATGGCTAAGATGATTAGATTATTTTAGTTCCAAAATGTTCCGAATCTCTTGTATTTTGCCCTTTAAAAATAATTACAGGGATTATTGTACTCTTTTGAGTAAACCAGTGTCTGTAAAAATGCAGATCCGAGGTTTGAGGATGAATCTAAGCAAGAGGGGATATTGACAATTTTTTACAGCAAGAAGGATAGTCGTGATGAACAATTTAGTTTGCATTGCAATGGCTAATTTAAGTCGAGTAAGGTAATGGACAGCAGTCCAGTGACCGTATCTCAGCCCTGGGTCAGACGTTCTTCTCTCTTAGCTGGTACAGAGCAGCTGACTGGGGGATACCGGTTTGTTGTGAACGAAAAGGAAAATATGCTCATTCAGACCACTTTTGCTCTCCATTTGGCTCTTGGTCTGAGAGAATAATTTACTGCAAGAAAGATAGATATGATCTCACACCGGGTACAAAATTATCCCCCAATATCAAAATGCAGACTGAGGTCAATGTGTGTCACATGACAGTGCATGTGATTAAAGATGTCGTTGCAGGGATGGAAATGAACCTGCATTGCTTCCCAGACGGAGCGGTCTGGGAGCAATGGATGCCGCGCATCTACATCATCTCACTCCAGAGGCAGTAACTTCTTAAAATGTGCTCATGCAATAGTTTAAGCTATTTCTGTCTAGCATAAATGTTCCTATGGAATTCCCTCTGTGCATCCTTGTCCTAACGAGTCTTCCACGTGGGCTGCACAGGCTCCTGAGTGTTTTTATCACAGCCCTTTTGGTCTATCAAAGCTCCGAGGCTTCCTGCGTGCCTGGGATCAAGAGTAGTGCGTGAGACACCATTCCAACTCCCACCCTACAGCCTGAGGCCACGCAGCACTTTCTGCTGCAGCGCAAGTGTGTACACAATTAGTAGTTTGTTTACTTTAGAGTATTTCAAAATACTTTAGCAGAAGATCAGCACATCCAGGTACTGTGGGATTCAGTGTGAAACTCAGTTTTACAATAGTGTCTGACAGGATATCATACTTCCTCCAGTCCTGAAGACATCACACTGTGGGCGCATTAACTGCAGGCACAGGTTGCACTAATGTGGGAGGAGATGGGTGACCTTTTGAGGCATCTAGACTGAAGAATACAGCATTTTAAAGAATGAAATTCCAAGGTGAACACCTTGAATTTCCTAGAAAGGAAAAGCCGCTAGGAAGCCGGTGCAGTTTTGGAGTGCTGGAGCGCTGTGTGACTCACATCAGGTATAACTGAGCAGAATGGAAGGGACTGAATAAATGCTTTCTCATGGAATTCTGCCCAGGAGAGTCTTTTGTGTAGATGAGTAATGGGGTCTTTTCAGAAGGTAACATCAGAACCACTCAAGTGACCCTAGTCCTCCCTGCCAGAGTTTACAAGCCTATCAGCAAAACCTCATAGTCAGCTGTATCAGAACTTTTGACAACAGAAAAAGTGATATAATAAATCAAGACAGCGGAAGGGTATTGACTCCAGAATCTGCTGTTGCCTACAATGGATGGTGGGGAAGCAGAGGAGGGGCAGTCACGGTCCCTTCTAATACATAAATGAACTTTCAGATCTTGTAAGTGATGGAAGGTGTTGTCCCAACACACACTGCTTTCAGTGCCAAGGAACAAATAAGTAAGAGAATGGACTTAAAGAAGCAATTTAATCCCTGGCATGAATGTTGATGATCCGCCTTGATCACAGTTTGTAACAAAATATTAACCTCCCGTGTTTCTCTGCTAGAGGAACCTGGCATTCGTTTTATTTATAAGGGCAGATTTCTTTGTTGCAATGTAATCTACTAAATTCTTTCACCAGTCAGACACCGTGAAAAACAAATGAATGGCATTATTGAATACTGTATTCTGATTAAAAATAAAAACATTTCCATGAGCTTAAAAACAGCGAAGTCAGGTTCCCATAGATTTGTGCCTTGTAGTTAAGTTCCCACGTGTTCTCCAGCTGAACTGACCCCGCAGCCTTTCCCATTACGTCTTTCCTCTGTCCACTTACTTATTTTAGGAATCTCCTGGGAATTTAATATATTTGATGATTTTACCTTCTTCCAAATCTGGTTGATATTGGCCAATAGGATTGAATATTATGACAGGTGTAAAAACCTAACGCATAATGCCAGGTTAAAATAAAACAGATGAAGTAAAATTTGGTTGAAGACACTGAGCTTTCCTTGTTCTGGTAGTGGCCTTGTGTTTGAAGACTAGAGAAAATGAGATCATTTTTAAAGATGATAAAATCCTTATTGTTAGTGGTGAATAGTATTGTTGAGCTTACAGGGTTACAACTGCACAAACTAAAAATTTGCATATGGATACAGATGCTAATTCAAGATCTCAGCATCAAGTCTCAATTATTGCTTGGAATTTCAATGCATCGCCTTGTTTTTTCAGTCTTTGGACATGGTTTTCTTCTGCAGTCTTCAATTAGGAGACTTTAAAAAGTGTTTAACTGTAAAAGGGGACATACCTGTATTTAATGGGGTAGGCTGTGTGGTGTGGGTGGACTCAGAAGATGGGGTGGCTGTGTGCGCTCAGTCCCTTTGGGTGTCTGTTTCTCCAAAGTGTCTGAAAAATCACAGCTTGTATGGTGTGAGAAAAGGCTTTAAACACAGGGCTCGTATGTAAAACCAAAGAGTTAGCATATGGTATCTATTGGCAAAAGCTGGCTCTTTGGCAGTGCTAGGATAATTATATTCCACTTTAAGCTCAGACAAGGCTGAAAATCAGGCTTTTGGTAACTGGGACCACTGTAGGGTGACTGTGGTAAAGCAGAGAACTGGAATAACGTTAGCTTCGAAATACAGATCACAGTAACGTTTGACTCCCAAAATGTATTTACACAGGCATTGTAATTAGAACTGCAGATAAGCCATATTGGACAACTTCCATGTAAAGTTGCTTTAAAAAGATTAAGGGATGACATTCTCACCCACTGAAGTCAACGGGAGTTTTGCCAATTGCTTCGCTCAAGCCAGGAGCTCACCGAAATGCAGAATTGCGTCCTACATTACTAAGGTTGTAACATTCCCTGGCACGAACAAGGACGTATTAAATCAGTCAGTGTTTCTTGTGGCCTCCTATTATTCCTGTCTGTTCTGTCTTGGTTTTCTTCCCTTCTTTCCAATTGATTCTACCTCAATATTTCCTTTGTCTGTCAGCATGTACCACAACTTTAACATTATTTAAGCACAGGTTTTTAAATTTAACTAGATGCAGAGGCAATTAATGATGCCATCTGTCTTGAGAGAGAGAGATTACACAAAAGCTTGTGCTCCTGAAAGCACTATTTTTTTGGCAAACAAGAAATCCTATTAGAGTCTCGGAACGCTTGCTCACTAGTTTCAGAAGTGCCCACTTTAATGCAGTAGCTGAAAGGCTCAGATACATTTCCTGGCAGTACAGTATGCTTAGGCATTCTCTCAAAGTTATATTTTACAGAAAATATCAACCGATACATGATATTTTCAGTAAAACTAAAAATTAAATATATCATTGAACATCTGTTACCAATACAGTCTAAGCATTTAAATACTTAAAAATCCCTGAAACCTTCATAAAGTTACATGCTACATAAATACAACTCTTTAGGAAATGCGAAGGGCCAAATAAGTGAAAACATATTTCTGCCTTTGCGTACTGAGCGGCTGCACGCTGCAATCCGTGTCTTCACTGTACTTCCCCTGTGCACTCGTGTGAAGGCGACTTCAGAGCAGAGGAAAGAAATGCACGTACTTTGTGTTTCGGGCTCTTCATCTGAAAGCCTTTAAAAATCTGTATGTCATAAGCATAAAATTAATTTTGATATGAACAATGGGGCATTGCTTATATTTTTAAAGATTGCTACTCTTAGCGAGTATTTTCCTTCAACGTGCTTTTGTCATATTGCTGTGTTCCTTTGGAGCACCAGGAGCACAGAGACTCTGTGTGATGGACAAGGACTAACGCGCGTCTGTCAAACGACCAGTCAGTGGGACGGCAGAGCGAACGTAGCCATGAGGAAGCAGTCTCTGCTTGGGTCACTGTACAGCTTCGTGCCCATCACACACAGAGCGATACCTTTACTCTCTTGCAGTTCTTGTGGTTTACACTGACCAAAAGGTGACAAAAGCGATGGCTGTCCTCAGGCCTGGAGGAGCTGGGTGAGGAGCTGTAACCTTTCAGATGTGAGATTCACTGGGCTTTCCATGTGCTTCTACTTGGTATCCATCTCTCTCCCAGCTCCCCTTCCTTCATCCTCCCAGGGGAGCTTTTCAGTCAGTCCTACCTGCCCTGTATGCTACTGCTTCTACGCACAGCAAGTAATTCGGAGACACCTGCAGGTTGTTTTGTCCGCTATCGACATACAGCTCTTCCTCAAACTATGATAGAACTGGAGGAGGTTGCAGTTTGCAGCCAACAGCATCGACGGTAGCGCCTGTGGGAGGATCTGACTCCTGTCTGATAGTCTTCACACCCGTCTGTCCTGCGGTCTACTGCACGTTGTACTTCATTTCTTGCATTTCATTATTTATTTTGTGTATAACTCTGAGGCTGAGATCA